GTAATGTCTACCACGTCGAAAGACGGGGATGAATACCACCAGGGAATAACCCACAGACAGTACATGTTCCTTGGAGCATCTGAGAAAGGACGTGTGTGCACCATCGTCAATAGACGGTGGGCGCACCTCGCACCGAGACTTAACACAGGCATTGTAAATCATGATGATGCCCAATGCCTGGAGCTAACCATGCCCAACAAACAAATCATACGTATCTTTAACGTGTACAATGATTCCAAAACACACAGTGCTCAGCACTACCTAGAAAATAAAGCCAGCAACATGCCAGAAATACACCTCATGGCAGGCGACTTTAACTTACGTCATCACATGTGGGACGCCACAGTTCCCATTGGAGCTAGGGCCAACCGCCAAGCGGAAGACCTCATCACGATGTGCACGCTGGACATGAACCTGTCCTTGAGCACATCACCTGAACACGCTCATACTTGGTCGTCCAACAGAGAGGACCAAAGCGATGGAACCCTAGACCTAGTCTGGACCAACAAAGACATCAATGTTATAAACATTGAACACCAACATGATCAACAAGTTAATAGTGATCATTGCCCAGTATTTGTTCGAATCGACCTGGAAACAGTCGATAAAATTACATACACGGTTAAGAAAGGTTCAGAAAATGGCCAGAAATTCATTAAAGCTTGTCGAGGACGGCTCGCAGCGATGCCCACTAACGTCGATGACTACGCCTCTGAAGAGTTCGTCGAGCGTTGGGGAAATTGGATCCAATATGCGTTCGACACAGCCTAGTCGGCTAACATCGAGAAAGTCAAGCCTTCACATCATGCAAAGTCGTGGTGGAATGCTGAATGTAACAAAAGGGCCAAGGAGTTACGTAATATACGTGCTTTGGTCAAATCTATTAAGAAAGACATCTGGAGGCGAAACAAGCTAATCCGAGCGAGACACATCATGATTCATCGTCTTGGAATATCTGAGAATGATGATGAGATACTGACTAGTATCGAGAACAAGAACAATTTGGCTTCTATCCACCTTATGGAGGAAGCCCAGAAAATGAAGATGGCGTCCAACCGCCTCCGAGCGGCGGCCAAACGAGCTAAACGTGATTTCTTCGAAGGGGTGTTAAAACACACACACCCTTCGAGAATATGGAACAATGTTGAATGGACGAAGCCACAAAAACAAGTGGCTAACGTCGCCCTCACAAATGCCCAAGGGGATATTGTCACCAACTTGAAAGGGGTCGGGGAAATATTCCAACAACAATTTACACCGACCAATGGTCGACCTGTCGACATGACCATCGCTGATGAGATGGAGCAGCTCGAGGAAAGAGCTTTCCCACCCATGAGTCGCACTGAAATGCGAGAAGCCCTCAAGGGCACTAGCAACTTTTCTGCACCGGGCCCAGACAACGTCTCGTGGTTCTGGCTTAAACGAATACTTAAGGACGAATCATCCCCCGAGTATCGCAACGATGATGAGTCCGACAAGAAAGATTGCGAGCTTCCCATACTCGTATTTTACGATGCATGTGTTAAGCTAGGTATACAACCACGGGTATTCAAGGTCTCGAAAACGGTTATCATAGCGAAGCCAAAGAAACCTGACTACACCAAGGCAAAGGCCTACCGGCCCATTGTTCTCCTCAATTGCTTAGGCAAATTGATGGAAAAAATAATATCCCAACGAATGCAATTCGAATCGCAAAAATACGGTGCAATGCACCCGTGTCAATTCGGTGGTACAATGCAACATAGTACCACGGATGCCGGAATACAACTTGTCCACAACGTGAAACAATTGTGGAAAAAAGGAATTGACTCTTCGGCAGTCCTGCTAGACGTTGCCCAATTCTTCCCGTCGGTTAATCACAATCTCCTGACACGAATCTTGTCCAAACAAGGATTCGCAGGAAATTTGTGTAAATATTTCGTCAGCTACCTGTCAGACAGACAGACACAATTCATGTTTAATGGAGAAACCCTTGATCCTATGGATTTCTCATTGGGAGTTGGACAAGGGTCGAGCCTTTCTCCGATTCTTACGGGTCTATACCTAGCCCCGGCCATGCACAAAATCGCCCCTTTAAAAAAGGCGATTACCCTTACTCTAGGGGACCACCAAGTCACGGTCCGCACACAGTGGACTGATAAAAACATACAGGCCAATGGACATGCCACCGTGCAGTTCTTCGTCGACGACGGGCTCATTCACGTTGGAGGCAAGCTGGGCAAAGGGTCGGAAGACCCAGACCACGAGCAGCTGCTATATAATAATGTCCTGATCCAGGACATATATTCCAAACTTATACATACCCTGCATAGATTAGGGTTGTCGGCGGAAACCGATAAACTTGAATTAATGCACTTCATATGTCGGTGGAAAGCCAAAGGGTGGACGTGGAGTGATGAACAATCACTCGGTCCCAAATTACGAATCTATGACGAAAATTCGTCCTTTGTCATTACCCCCAAACCGGTAATGAGATATCTAGGCTTCTGGCTTGACCTGAAGCTTACGTTCAGGGACCATATTAAGGTCTACACAAACAAGGCTTGCAGCACTGTTGCTGCAATCCAAATGTTAGGCAACTCGTCTAGAGGACTTAAGCCTAGAGATAAACGGCAGATTTATATATCCAACGTAGTACCCCTGCTGTCCTATGGGGCACAACTATGGTGGAACCCCTCCTGGAAGGGTATACATTGGATCGAGAAGGAGCTGTCCAAGGCCCAGAGCCGAGCAGCCCGTTGGATCACGGGGGCGTTCAAAACGACCCCCGTGGGCTTCCTTGAAATGTCTGCAGGACTAATCCCTGTCCGACAGAACATCAACAAACTCATGAAACGTGCGGCGTTGCGCACGCACATGTTACACGAAAATCATCCTATAAGGGCCCACATGCCAAACCTTATGGAAAGTGGGACACTTAATATTAAGGCACCGCTTCCATACCGTGGAACTAAAACCAGAGATGCCGAAACCCCCATAGTAACGGCATACAAAGTTACGGAGGGCTTCACAGAGGAATTTAACTCCATTAGCACCGAAGCACAACCGGGAAACCGCATACTAGACTTATATGCAGACCGCATCACCATGAGCCTTGAGAGCCCACCGAAGGCCCAGAAGGAAGAACTCCATGATTGGATAAGGACGTTCCTTAATCCAATCATAAAACTAGCATCCACCGAATACGGGAGTCGAGCAGTGTTCACTGACGGCTCACAACGTAAAATCCACAAGGAAAATAAACCTGAAAAGGTCATCACTGGTGCTGCATGCTCAGTTACGTACACCCTAGAAAGGGGCGAACGAAAAACCATAGAAAAGAAAATAGGATGTGGCCAAGTCACACCATTCGATGCAGAAATGCAGGCCCTGTGCATGGGCATTAACACGGCGTGCAACGCACCGGGAGAACACAAACTACTATACCTATTTGCGGACAATAAAGGAGCACTACAGCGCATCTTTAACCCGCGAATTGGGCCCTCACAAAAATGTTCCTTGCTAGCTAGCGAACGTATACGACGCTGGTTGGAAGCAGACCCGGAACGAACCATACACATGTCATGGTGCCCAAGCCATGTTAACGTGCCCTTAAACGAACGAGTTGATACCCTAGCTAAAGAGGGGACTGAACTCACACAACCATCGATTAAATCTTATGCTTACATCAAGCAAAAGATCACCGAGAACGAAGTTCACGTATGGCGACAGAAAATCAAAGAGTCCCCTAAATATAGAGGACACCAATTGATTGCTGGAGATCATCACGATCACCTACGACAGATCAAACACACGTCCTCAAACTGGTTCATAGCCCACAGCGGGGGAAAGAACCGAGAGATGGGCAGACTCACCAGGTTAATGTCTGGACACGCACCAATTGGAGCGTTCCAACAACGATTTAATCTAGAAGGACCCACCACATGCTGGTATTGCCACCATGAATTGGGTCAAACAACGACAGAAACAAGGGACCACATGATATACATGTGCCCGGGATGGAGTCGTCTATACGACTTTAAACAATGCACATAGCGGGCCACCCATTGTATGACAAGACCAAGATAGGACACCGTCTCAAAACTGATACCAAAGTGCACAAAATGCATCGCGCGTACTGGGAGATGCAAAATGACTTGACTAAAGTCAACGAATTGACTGAATACAGCCAAGATCTTAACTACAGAAAGAAAATACTAGGCACCAAGTGGGAAGATATCTACCACTTCGTGCGAGCTAACCCCATGGCGGGTACCTTCGAATGGTCTGACCTTGTTGATAAAGCATTTGAGGATGCCAACAAAGGTCGTGACTACACCACGTCAGTTCACATATGGAAAGCTCTCATGCACTCGAAGAGACGCAAGGAGAAAAGAGATGATTACACTAAAGATTTGGAACAGCACTGTAGAGCCACATACTCCAGCGCGGTTCGACATCACAACCATCTCCTTAAACCAGGAGACATACCAATGGATCCGGGAAAGTGGCAACAATCGTACCCCAACCCGGACCAAGCTGAACGTAAATTCACACAGTGGTATGCAAAGTACGCGGTATCTCAATACCGAATACTTTTCAACCACAATGAGAGCCTCCCAGTGGTTGAGGAAGAGGCATTGGCGTGAGAGTTTGGATACAGGGGCACGTATAAACCTGTAGGACAAGCTTTCGAAGCGTTCTCCGACGCTGAAGATCCGCCCGCAGACGAGGATGAATGGGGCAATCAGGTTGACGAAGAGCACAGATAAGTTGGGCAAATCGTCACAGGGCGGCTGGAGCATAACCGTCCGACAACCGGTGACCATACTTAACGGGGGTCACCATGAAGATAATTTGTGTTTCGGTTATGTAGGGCGGGGGTGAGGGGAACCATTAGAGGTAGGCCTAATGTTTGGTGAGGTAGAGTCCATCGACTGGCTCGGTGCTCGTGCGAGGCCAGGGCCGTCTGGCACGGTCCTGCGAATTCCTCTGCGCCCCCAGACCTTAGATCGACCAGGTGAACCGGCACGGACCCTGTTGTGGCTGTAGCACAGGCCCTCATGTAGCAGTAGTTCTACGGGCCTTTATAAACAAGCGGAAAAAAAAAAAAAAAAAAAAGTCTGGCGTCATGGCGGCGTCGGGACGAAGCTTCGTGGCACGGCGATCACCGTTATCACTCGCGGTCTCGGCCCACCCTCGTCTTTTCTCTTCACAACCTCATCTCTTCCGAAGCCCCTTTTCTCCGTCATCTTAATTTACTATGGCAACAGTACCGACTCCGCACCGAACGCCTCTACGGCGTCTCTCGCAAGGCTCGCTCTTTCGGCTGTCCCGCTCAGGCGCGTACCCCGACGCGCCGCACGGTCTCGGCTTCCTCGAGCCCGCGCTCAGCGAACTGCTTGACGAGGCCGAAGCGCTTCAGACCAACGTCGAAGGGCTGCGCAACCTCAGCGATGCGCTCTCCACATTCAATGAGAGCTTCGCGAGCTGGCTGTACGTCATGAACATGAACGCGCTCACCACGGACTGGCCACAGGCTCCGACAGATGCGAGTTTCGAGCTTGCGAGGAGGCGCGCAGGTATGCTTAATGTTCTCTATGTGCTTTAATGCAGGAATGACGCAAGCGTGTGGTAGAGGAGGACACGCTGGCCGTGATGGAAGCGATGAAAGCCGCACAAGCTGCACAAGCTGCCCTGGAGCCCTCGTCTGTCACGGAAAAGACATCGTACGGAAGCGAGCTAGACACAGACACGACATATAACGAAAACCCGAATGCGACCACGTCGACGAACTCTGCTACACAGGCGCCGAAGAGCATCCTGAAGAAGACTGGTGGCAGGCAGAAGCTGACAGCAAAAGAGAAGAAGGAGCGCGACATAATCGTTGAGCGCATTATCACGAGCTTGCCTCTGGAGTTCCGAGGGAGCGACCCGAATTTGAGGAGACACATTGAGCTGGTCATCGAGGGGTTCTTGGACAGAGAGGGACGAGGCGTTGCTTGTGCGTATCCTGCTCCCCCGCTACAAAATTAATGGCTGATGGCGATAATACTGTAGTGACTGAGCTCATAAAGCTGCCAGACCTCAACCAGGCTCGCGTGAATAAGTGCCTCATCGCTCTTGTGAACCGGAAAATCGTGCGCAAGGACAACAGCACTGTACGTCCATCACTTTTACCACTTCCAGCCAACTGATTGATTGCTTTGTCGCACTTTAGGGCAGCGTGTTGTATCATTGGCAAGGACTTCCCGGCTAGAGACCGCCCCAGACATTTTTCGGATACCATTTACTGTATCGCTAGTCATGTATTGCCACCAGATACCCTGCAATCCCAAGCTGCAACCACCGACTGACGCGACGTCTTATGCACATATTTTCAACTTGCGATCTCTGTCACCTTTGAGGATGAAATCACGCCTCACGGTTCAGGGGCACAGACGCACAGGAGCTGCGCTTTGCCCACGCATGTTGCATCGCCATGATGGACGCTTAAAGCTTGCTTCCTGCCCTCACCACGAACATTGTCCAGGCATGCTTCAAGATATTGATTTGGCCTTAGTGCCTCGCAGCGATGCAGACGGTACAGAGAGCGACGGCTCGACTGCCACGCCCACGAGCCCGACTTCTACGACGTCATCCGCTGCGCGGAAACGCTCTTCCTTAGACACTGCGAGCGAACCCGACTCAACCTCTTCTCACCCGGATAGTCAGCACGAGGCCTCAAGCGTGGTAGTGCCGCTCGTGCCCTGGGTAACGGTGCTCATACGCTATCTTGGGCGCCCCGTCGTCGTGACGTGCCTCGCGCGGGCATACCTCGCGACACTCACTTTCAGCGTGCGTCTCATGCATTGACTTATACCGCGCATGTATTCATGCTATCTCCGCGTTTCCGTGGTCAATTCCTCTGCTACATCCCTGATGTGTTTCTACGGGCGTTTGTACGCGTGTTATGTTCGGGACACGCCGACACCACCACAGGCGACGCTGGACGCCGTACGCTTCTGCGCCGCAGGCCATCTCGGACCCGAACGCTCGTATGGTGTGCTCGAGTACCAACACGGTCGATGGAAGCAGCCCATGGCCCTCCAGATCACCCTCCGGCACGACCGCGCCTTCGCCGGTGGCACCGGCAAGGAGCGCCGCGAGACGTTCGTCGCGAGCTGCTACCCCGAGGAGGGCTGGAAGTTCCTTGCGGAGAGTGTAGAGAGCCTCGAGCTTGTCGTTGACCCAAACTTTGACTGACAATACCTTCGGATGAATGCTGCTTCGGGTGATGTCATGCGCGGCGTGTAACTTTGCTTCACACGCTGTGTTAGACGAGCATCTTCTCCCTGCTCAAGCCGGGCTTGGTAGCGCACGGGTACAACCTCGGGAGGCCGGGGAGAGTTCATTAGAGGGGCACAAGTAGATGAAAGGGGGGAGGGTTGACCTGAGCGGGCCGCTCATGTATTGTACCTTTGGCTGAAGTACTCTGGCGCCCTCTGTGGTCTCGGATACATCCAACGTCGCGAGCGACATGGCGCACGCGACTCAGATCGAGAGGGAAGCTCGAATAAGGGCTAACCGGTAACCAGTAATAAAGCTATGGTAAAGGGGTTTCTACATCCTCCCGGGGCTCTGGCGCGGCTAACCCGGGACGCGGCTCGGGCCCAAAGCAGGCGGGTTGGGCCCATTAATCTCTGGGCTCTGCAGGAATTTCCGAGTGAAACACATGAGCTTCGCGGAACAGCGGCCGTATCATCAGGCAGGCATACTATATGTCGGTGATAACCAACACCCCTTCGCAATGAGGCACCCCTCTTGGACATTAACTTGTGTACATCCTCCGTTAGATCGGTCTACTCAAGAGACTAACCCAATGGCCTAACAGGATTCCCCTGACCACGGCCTCGACGTATAGAAGGTTCTGCCTATCCGCGAGGGAAGAGAGATGGCCTGGCCTAGCAGCTGGGTCATTTTCCTCCTAAATACGCACTCGCTAGACTTAGGGGTGCAGAATCATAGCAAACAAGGACAAATAGATGGCTGACAAGTGCTGTCTGCTGCGAAAAACCACATTAGAGGCGAGCTTACAGGCGCCGAAGAAAGGGCACACCTAGTGTGCATCACCCTAGTAGAAAACAGCTGCTATCCATTTAGTGTGTATAAGTTAGAGGCAGAGTTAACGTGCAGGTGGCGGTAGACTCGGCGGTGACACATGTAGAAAGCGAGACATTGCTGACTGATATCAGTAAATAACGGACATAAGGCTGTAAGTAAAGAGTGTAAGCTTCCGTTTCTTATATAAGCGCCTAATATGTGAGCTACAGTAATTGAATGTAAGTAAGCCCGTGAGTTATAGGGTAAGCTCCCATGGCAACAAGCTGCACGAGCACCTAGTAGATCCCGATGACGAGACGTTGGCAGTATCAGCACTGCCACCTCGCCTACGCCTGTAGATAAGATGGGCACGACTCACGGCTATTACCCTGCCTTTGAGGCTACGGAAAAGGGTGTCAACAGTGGCTTGGGTGCTGTGTTGGTGCTGTACCAGTGCTCGATCTTCATGGCCTAGTTGTTCCTGCGTTCTGAACGCGGTCGGGCCTATACCTGTGTGATCATACCTTGATCAATGACAGCGACATCTTTCAAAAGGTGTGGATGACCCTCCAGTTCTACCGAGGTCGCTGCCGCCTGTACGTAGTCCTTCGTGCACGTACCTCACGCACTATCTTCTGATCTGGCGGCCCCTCAAGGCCCATTGTTCCGAAAAGTTAACGCTGCCTGCGCACAATAAATTTAACTCGAAGAACGCCTTCACCCCTCGAGCACTTCATCAGCAGGTCGAGATCGGCAAGTGGGCTGACCCCGCCATCTTTGATGCACTGACTCCTCCGCGAACCTCACCAGCGCGAATGACCTGTAAGTTCGGGGCGTCGTCTTCCATGCGTCGAACGTTGACATCGAGGCAGTCTGTTAACGACCATGTCGTCACGCGCGATGGCCGGCTGACGAAAGTTCCGTGGGGATCCTTTACTGTCTGAGTTTGTAGACTGAATTTCATGAAAAGCGTGCCAGCCCGTTCGAATCAGTAGGCATGAGCGATCCAAAATTCGACATATCAGGATACATCATGCAATGTAGCCGAACGAGATCCTAGACTTCGCGTGAGGCCCTCAAAAGACATGTCATCTAATCTGAAACTAACATCTGGACATCTTCCTGATTCAAGGATTAAGTATCTAAGCCTTTCGCCTCTGGCGTTTGTATATATACCACTTGCTGTAACATGGCTGCATATTCGAAAGCACTTCAGCTTTCAGCACATTGCTTTCCACTGTTCTACATCGTCGTATACGTATGGAAGGTTAAGTACTAGCATCGCGTGCCCTTGCTCGCTCGAGCAATCGGATCATACCAGGCGAGAGGTTATTTCTTACCGGCTCAATGTCTCGAGCCAACTCATCCGCGATTTTCCACTCGTGCCTCCGGATCACATGATCCATGAGTTTGCTCCATATGCGGTGGTCCACATTGTGCCTAGTCAAGTGCCTCTTGCCCTGTTTGTGCATCCGATAGTAGATCATAGCTTGTCGTATCGCTCTAGCGGTCGGATTCTCGCAACATGCTTCGATGACTTTTAGAGTCCCTATTAAGGATGTGGCAATCAGGTCGCGCTGCTGATAGCCGTTCATCTTCTTGATTGTCGCGCGCCAGTAGCGTGAAGCTAGAGTCTGGTCGCTCCATACTCTGCGTTCGATGCCGCGGAGCACAGTGCCATATGTCTTGGCACCAGGCGCTGTCTCGGTAACGTGCGCTTCCATGTGTTCGATAACGGCAAAGGCTGCGTCGAATGCGGTATCGTTGTCCGAGCGCACGAGATATTCCAGGAGCGTGTCGCATGCGTTTGTATCGACGGTCACGTCGTTCTGACGCAATAGCTCCAGTACGAGCTGTGTGGCGTCCGTCCGCAACAAGTGAAGAGCAGGCAAGAGGACGGAGGCGGTGTAGACATCCCCGTACATTCCTAAAGAGTCCATCTCCCGCATGGTACCAGAGATCGCCTTCAGGTCTTTGCTGCAACTGTAGTACTTCATAAAGGCGTTAAATGAGCTCACGTCTGGCTTCGGCCCCGCCTTCTTCATCCGATCCAGAATCGTCCGTGCTTGATCAATGTGAGACTGCTACAGCAGCCATTCGAGCTTTGTGTTGAAGACGAGCACAGCTTGAGGATCGGTCGCGAACTCGGGTTTCTCGCGAAGACACTGCTCAAAGCGCTCAAATTCTGCCAGGGCGTCCTTCGAACATCCTTCGAGAAACAAGGCGCTGATGTACTCCCGACGAAGAATAGCTCTCGGTGCCTCACCGGTAGAGAGAAACACCTTCCAGGCCGCCCGTGCGCGATCAAACCTCTTCAAGGCAGCAAAGCCGTTGATGACAGCAGCCTGGACGAGTGGCGGCGTTTGGGCACCGATCCGCTCCATGTCCACCCAGAAGTGCTCCGCAGCGCCCACATTGCCGGAACGTATTAGGCTGAGCATAAGGAACGCCCAGTGCTCTTCGGTGAACACAACGAGAGGATGATTAGATGCTGCTGCTGCTGCAGGATCGAGTGCGAGGTAAGGTTCGTCTTCCGATAGCTCCTCTATAATGTGATGGGCATAGTGTTCGAGTGACGAAGCATCGCTCCGAGATGCCACTTTTGGGCCAATGTAGTTCTTGAAATTTTGTATGGATAACGACGATGTTTCTAAATTGGCAAATCGTTGTGTCCAATGCGCGAGTTTCACCTTCGGCAGTCCACACCTGTGCGCGGCCATCTCCGTCTCCTCTCGCAGGACATGAAGGGGGGGGGGGGGTGCTATTTCCAATGCCTATTCGTAAGAGGGGGTAGAATACACCCTTAATGACACAGGCTGCGATAGTGTAGGCGGTGAGTCTAGGATTAAGGGTCCTGGTGCGATCACCGGAATTTTTCGCGAACAGCACATACTCGTTTCGCCGACCCCGCTTTGATAAGGATGAAAGCTGTTCGTTACGAAACTCGAGAAGGCGCATAGACTGAAGTGCAATATTCAGTGCGGGATCGGGATCTGACCTCTTGAGATGATAGTCCATCCGCGCACATGCTCCGTGAAAGTAGCCGCTAGCGGCGGTATGAGCCGCGAGAACGTCCAGCGCAGAATGTGCGTTCGGATCCACGTCGTGTGGGTAGTTGTGAAGGACTTCAGAGTAACTTCTAAAGTACCACCGCATCTTCAGCGCGTTGGGAGTTATAGGTCGCAGCTCCCGGAGCTGCCACCATAGCTCCGGGATCGCCCGATAGTCCCTGTCCCGCAGTGCCGTCTCTAGCTTGCCAGACAGATCCAATACTAGAAGTCTATTCTCCGCCAGGGTTTCTGCATCTTTGAGGACACTAGCAGATAGGTCCGTGTCTCTACGGAAGAGTGACCCGTGATCGTGTGGGGGAGACTCGGAGGTGGAAGGAGAAAGAGGCAAGTCTGAAGGAGATAACTCAGTCGCGCCAGGATGTGCGATATTCATATGTGTATACCGTGCTTGAGGCGCACGGTAGCCGGCTGCGAGCATTGCTGGGGTCCGCGTTCGGAAAGTCGTCGAGACTGAACGAAGCGCGAGTGCTCTACGCGAGACCAGTAAACGAGGGATTTTCATCCTCGGAATCGCAGGCACGCTATATCTGCACAAGTAGTGGTGCGATCCAGTGACCTGTAAAGGGCTCAAAGGCACCTACCGATCATGAGGAGAGCGTTCAAAGCCAAGATCATTAAGCGCCCTACGCCACGAAGATTTCCCAGGCGCCCGCATAGTACGTGTACGGGCGAACATCCACTACTAGCGAGTCCGGGATCAAAATCTGCACACGGTGTAAAGAGTACTACTGAATAACATTCAATTCTCACCTTTTCGTCGGCCGCAACATTTCACTTTATCTGGTAGTCAAAATTAGCTGGTCGTTCCGGAGCTTCTTGGACATAGTACCTGCATCACCACAGCTACGATGGTGTGCATCGGCGAGCGGACGAGGTTGTTAAGCTGATGTGCGGCAAGAACAGCTTTGTTTGTGCACTTTTCGTCGGCCTCGGGCTGTATGTGCAGCGCTTAGACTCCAGAAGCACCAGTGTGTGAAGCGAACTGGGGAACTCCTTATAGCTACTGAGTAGACTGGAAACAAGTCCGACTGCCTCATCGTGCATCCCGTCGCCAGCCGCCCGTTACATGAGGCTACTACGAGTCGGTCAACTAATGACCTCGACGCACTGAACACTTTCTTCAGACTGCACAAGAAAGCCAGGGAATAAATGCATATAGATACCGCGCATAAGTCACACATACAAAAAAACCCCATATCGCCTTATTAGGTCTCGCAAAACTATGATGCTAGCGCGTTCCTGTCGGCGTTTTCGTGTCCTCGTCGTCGCTGTCGTCGACACGGAAAATCTCTTCCTTGGGCGTGTACTCCGACGCGCGTTCCTTGCCCTTCCCGTTGCCGCTTCCGTCACCGGGGCGGTACGCGTTCTGCTCCTCGAACTCGCTGCTCTCCGTGAGCGGGATGTGCTCCTCGTATGCGGCCTGAGACGATAGGGTGCCTGGCAGGCGGCGCGAGCGGTTGCGCCGGAAGCGCCACCAAAGGAAGCCGCCGATGACAAGCGCAATGAGTAAGAGCACGAGGGCAGCGGAGCCAGCGTTGTAGTACGCTGTAGTTGCAACGAGAGCGTCAATATGTGCATGCGAGAAGATATGAAGGGTACTGGCCTTCCCACATCGCTTTGTCTTGCTCTGGCGTCTTCCCGCTCACGGGCGTCGTCGTCGGTGTTTCATCCAGTAGTGCAGGAACAGGTTTACTATCTGAGCCAACGGCACTCGGTATCCGCACCGAGCCGTCCGTGAGGGCAGAGAAGTTGACACCCATAAAGCGCAGAATCATGTCGTGGGTCACGTGTGGGACATCATAGCCAGCCATGTGCGAGGCGTTGAAAATCTGTGGGGGAACGTTAATTTCGTATGAGAGGGTTCTACGAAGTGATAGAGCATACTTTGACATAGGTGAGGTTCCTAGTCGTGACCCACGTCCCCGCAGGCGTGCCATCGACCGACCATGACTGTGTCTGCACTGTCTACGTACAGCGTCTCGTTTCAGGGTTTGTTCACTTCGTTAGACAGTAGAGCACTTACTCCTAGACCCTTCTCCCCATTCCATGTCATACTCTGCATCATGCTCTCGAGGCCGACGTAGTTGCATATCAGGTCCTGGTCGCCAGCGAAGAGCATCACAGGAATCTTCTCGAGAACGCGCGGGAGAAGCGTGACAGACGCATTCGAATGCTTCGTGGCGAAGTTGCGGTGGATCTTGCCACGACATTCTTCCCACTGCGAGACGGCGTCCGTGGCGTGAAGCGCGCGGACGACGTCTGGGCGCTGATGGGTCTGTGTTAGTGAATAGACAAGGCCGAGGCTGAAAAGGACATACACGTAGGTACGTGTACATGGGAGTGAGGTCCGGCGGCCAGTTCGTGCCACAGGCCGGGTAATCGTCATAGAGCCGGACGTCGTACATGTTCAGACATTGCAGCTTGTTATCCGTCCTGCATGCGCAATAGATCAGTGTGAGTACAGAGATGTTGTCATTACGAAACCAACGTTTTGGTTCTGGCATCGATAATGGTGTTCATGACAGACTCGCATAAGTCGTCATGCACAGGATAGATAGTTGTGTACTGTGCAAGATTGTTCATACATCTGTCGGTGATATCCTTTGTCCGCTTGTATCCCTGGCAAGCGAGATGTCAGTACACCATCGGTATATCCCTCTGTGTGCGCATTACTTCTGAATTCTCCTCAATGAGATTGTGCTTAACAGCATAATCGAGGTATGCAGGGTACTGAGTGCGCGCATCTATCCAACCATTGCCTATAGCCGCTCCTCGTAATGGTATATTCAAGTCCGAGCTGAGGATGGCATCCGCTGAGTGATATGTCACCTATCGTTCCTGATCGCGAGTGGCTGCTCGACCTACCGAAGTATGGGATGTATTGGCCAGCGAAGCTTTCGCCACCTAAGAATGTCTGCAAAGGAGTGAGATAGGGACGTTGTAAAGGCAATAGCGGACGCACATCCATCTGTTGATATTCGGGAAAGACCAGGTAGAAATTCCTCAAGAATTCTAGAATGTGGTGAGAAGCCTAAAAGACGTCAGCACGCCGATAGGAAATAGATGTTAAGCGCATACTTCAGGGAGTTCGTGCAGATATTTGTTCGAGGATGTATACGAGAACCCAGTCCCTACAGGCTGGTCAACTATCACAGCATCAGTATCCATTAGAGCACGAGAGACTGAACTTGAGGGGACGCACTGTAGACCATAGTCGTGTACTCTTCCCAGCCGCCTTCTGTTCTGTCCAGTCCACCCTTGCCGTCCAGCCGCCACGGTCCCACCTCCATCATCAGACCGTCGAATGATGAGCAACCGGGTCCCCCCTGTGGGTTTATTAATCAACTAAATTGCTGACACAGATACTAGGACATGCCACGTACGTTGAACCAGAACAGTATACGCTCCTTGTCCGCCGTCCGCCGCGCCTTCACGAGCACGAAATATAAGTGCGCCGTGATCTCAGTCGACGGCGCCGAGCGTGCATCTGGATCCGAGGGGAGGTACCCAGCATATATGTGCAACGGATGCTCTTCGTCCTGGTGTAAGTCCGGTATGTGCGGGACATACAGAGATGCGGCGGAGGGTACTGCGCATCAAAGCGTGAGCATAGAGACGTCCGCAGAGTGCGTATGCACTTACAGTCGGTTGGGGCAGCGGTCGCACAAAGGGTATACCACAGCGGGGGCAACAGCGACCAGATGAAACTTGAATAAACAGCCGCACGCATCGTAGAATATGTTTGGTCGCGATCGGTCGTAAGTTACTTGCCGTAGACGGCTGCTTCTTGTACACCGTAAGCTGGACGGGTTATGTTATGAGTGGGAGCCAAAAGCACACCTTGTTTCGACCTGCCAGCAGTCCTCGAACACTCTGAACGGCGGTGAACGCTGTCCGGCTCCAGAGTCTAACACAGCGAAGGCTGTGGGTCGCCGGCGTTTCGCACTTGTTTTTGCTGATGGACGATAAGTATCAAGAAAAGAAATATCTTGATAGACTTATCATTGCTAGAGCGGATCCCACGTGAAATTCCGCACAACAAATGATCTCGACCCGGTGCCTGAGCCATATGGGAACTTGGAAGGAGCCAGCTGGGAGATAACATGCTTGCTTGTGCGGCGCACGCAGGCTCTCAACCTTTTTCTCAACCACCACCCCGACGATGAAGGTTGTCGCAGTCGTCTGCGCCGCCCTCGCGTGCGCCTCCTCCGTGCACGCCCAATACTTCTCCGAGGGGTGGAAGCCCGGCCAGCCCGCCGTGTCCCCAACGCAAGACGGGGCCGCGCCGGCATTCACGCCTGGGGCAGCCTCACCGGGGACGACGGGCAGTGGGGGCTTCGACCTCAGCAAGCTCTTCACGAGCGGACCCGTAGGCTCGCTGCTCGCCAAGGCTGGTGTGAACCTGTCTGCGGCCATGAACACGTCTGTAGACCTCTGGGACATGAGGATTCCACTCATCCACGACGACAACTACGACGAGCTCATCGTGCACGAGCCGCTCACGCCCGAAGAGGAATTAAACCGAACGTGGTTCCTCGTGATGTGCGTCCCGTTTTCGCTTTGCGTTGTATTTACGTATGAGGGGCTCATCTATGTGCAGATCGACGACAGCCGGCGGACAGCACCAGGGTGGTATCTCCAAGCTGGTAGACAATCAGTTCGACGTGGCGTACAACGAGACAATCATCGCCGATGACCTTCCAGATGTCCGGTGGGGGCGCATCGACTACATGAATGTGACATACCTCACCACTAAGTGGAATGTTTGGCGGTGCGTGCTTGTCTCTAAGCTATACTACTCCCATCTGACATTCTGACAGAGGCCCTTGGCTTGTCGTAGCGCGCGATCGCGGCCAGACGCTACGCTTCTACAAGGGTAACAGCGTCCGACTGAACTCAACCATCATTCGCAACTTCCTGAAGGAAGAGCTCTGGCAGCACCAGGAGCCGTGGAACTCGGCCTTCGCGCCTGGCGGCAGTCGGTACGCTGTCTCTCCTTCCCACCTTAGCATTTGGTTCACCTCGATTCAGAGAAATAGTCATGCACTATTGGGCATTCGCCCAGCGCACTGTCTACGATTACACCGTGCGCATTCCGAAGTTCCTGCTCATGATCATTGCCGGCGGGCTCGGTAGCGTCGTTATGCGTCTTCTACACCGCCCGCCGTCCGAGCAGCCCAAGCCTGCCACGAAGCCCACCGCGAAGTCTCGGCCAGCTGCCGTCCCTGGAGCACCAGCACCTGCAGCGACTAGCACGACGCCAGCAAGCAGTCCAAAGAAGACGCCGTCGAAGAAGAAAGGTGGCAGGAAGTAGCAGACCGGTGTAGCTTACTGTTTATACGTTCCCTGAATCGGCTAGGGCCTGCAAGGATCTCGGATAAGCGAAGTCCAGAGAGAAAGTTGTGGTTATGCATATCGCTGTGACATTGAGCGGCGAGCGGTGTGGTGCGCATTAAAACGAGTATTCTAGGCTATCGACAACGACAGTTATGTTCCAGTTGAGGATAGCTATCTGCCTACTCCTTCCAAGGATAATCAAACTTGGGCTGGTCCTTCCGCCTCCAGAGCTTCTTCCTGCATCAAATAGTCAGTGCTAACCCTCGACTAGGGAGAGTGAAGACCGTACTTCTTCTTGGTAGGCACATGCTCGGCAAAGACATCGACACAGTACTTTGCCTTAAACTCGCGGATGAAGCGCGGATCCCAGAGATCGCTCGCGATACCAAGGTCCTTGCAGCAGCGCATTAGTGCGTTGCTCTTCGCAGCCTCTGTTGCGGTCGGGATGCCGTTTTGGTCAAAATATTCTTGCTCGCCGCGCGCAACCGCAACTAGCCTGATTGTGATTGTCATCGTCAGTTGAAGTTGAACAGAAGAATCAAAGATAGGAGACGCACCGGCCGAGACACACGAGCGCAAACTCTCTACTAACGATCTTCGGTCCTACATTCGTCTCGCTGCGCGGTGCGAGCCCCCAGCCTCCTGGTCCAAACGCTTTGTTAAGTACTCGGCGGTACTTGATCTCGGGGAGGTATAGAAGGCCGTCTATAATAACTCTATTAAACCACGCTTTGCAATCGCAAAGCAACAGAGCAGCGCACCGGGTTTAACCTCCACATCCAACGGGTCAATGGGAGCAAGCAGCACATCGGCCGCCTCCTTCGGGAATGGCGCTGCCGACAACCCATGGTAGCTTTTAGACCAGTCCGTGCCTGGCATCTCAGGAAGCGGCGCCGTGCCATTGCCGTTTGCTGAAGCGAACGGGTCGATCCCGCCCTCAGAGACTGGCGTCGCTGTAGACGACGACGACGACGACGACGAGGGGGTGCCCTCAGCGAGGCCAGCGAGGTCATCAAGCGCTTCAGCCTCAGTCGCGGTGCTAGCGTACGCGGCGGGCGGCGTGGTACGCAACACTCGAGGCTTCACCGCTGCCGCTGGTGCCGTCGTCGTTGTGCGCGGCGGCCACGAGGCGGTAGTCACCGTTCGGACTGTCGAGCGTGCCGCCAATGTCGTGTGCAGTCTCGCGGAGGCGAGACTGCGTTGAACGAGGCGGTATGCCATGCTGGAGTCGGACGTGCAGGAGGAACAGGAAAAAGTTGAGTTTGGCTATGCGCGGCTAAAGCCCAATTAGATAAGCGCCGGGACATGATCAACGATGCGCCTTTTTGATGTGGCCTCCAATTGGAGTATATCCGCGCTTTCGCATCCTCCACAGCGACGAGAAATGAAATCTGCATACCCACCCGCCGACCAGCTCCATGACTCGGAGGGACCGGCTCGTATTCCGCATGTTTCCTGACTCCGAACTGCGAACCTGGCGTCCAAGCTATGTCTAAGGCGTTGCCGCGTATATCAACCATCAGACCGCGAGAGGCTGAAACATACGCACTGCCGGGGACGTGTTGTCCGTTGCGCTCATGCATACGCAAGATATACGTGGGCCTGATTCCCGCTCGCGTCCTACATAGCATCTTGCTCGCAGGCGGCTCTTCTCGTGACGACACGGGGCGACACCAGGCTTCCTACGCTCTCGCGTCCTGCAGCCGCAAAACAACCATCTCATGCTTCGAGCTGGCCTCAGGCGGTGATTTCTCTTCACGTTCTTTCGGCTATCTGCACTTCTTCTCCTTCTTTACCCCCTTTCTTTTAAAGCAACCTCAGTAGGCCGGCCCTACTAGTTGCACACTCTGGCCCTGGTGGCTCACTAGCCCCCCGCTATGTCCTTGCCTGGATGGTCTAATGTGGCATTCGCTGAACCGTCTTCTGCAAGCCCCTTCGCAGAGTACTACCTCGACCATCCGAATGGGTACGTCGTCCTTTCCTTGCTAAGTATCACGCGACTTACACGCGCTGTCCCCAGACACATCGTATCTGCCTTCTTCCTCGGATGCGTCTTTATGGGTAGCTTGCAGCACATGTCGAGCTCTCTCTTCTTCTGTGGTGCTCTGCTACGCCTACGCAGGTGTTTCCAGCTGCTCTACCGATGCATACCCTCGCGGCGCGTCGACTTCGAGCTCCCCACGTCGCGCTCCGAGAAGGTCACGCCGGACGAAGAGGAGACGGCCTCCGTACGCGAATACAACGACCACACAGCCCTTGTCTTTACACTCAATCTGTGCTTCTTCCTCGCTGGGCTAGCCCACTTTATCTCGCTTCTAGCATTCCATAATCAGAGTACTTGGAACACAGGCTGTGGTACGTCATGTTGAGCTGCTGCTTCTCCTAAATCCTGTTCCGAACACTAGCTGCAGCATTCGTCGTTGCGTGGGGAGGCATGGCCTCTCAGCTCGCAAGTCTGCTGGGTCTGATGATTTTGATCATCGAACTCAGTCGGATTGGTGTCAAGAGATGGGAACCGCTTGCGTTGTATGGTTTTGCACTCGTGGGACTTGGTAGGTGATCCATTTGCTATGTACGGATACGATCAACTGAATTATACCAGTGTTTGTGTTCGCGACGAACGCAACCAACGGCGGCACAACGAAGTGAGTATATCTATCCCGCCATGGTATTCCAACTAAATATTGTGCGCAGGGTAGCTCAAAGTGTTGGCATAGTCTTCTGCTACAAAAAACGGTACGATTGATCACTGTCGTGCAATCTCCCCTACTTAATGAGCTGTCGACCTCAGCTTTCTTCCCACCACCCTGACATCAAGCATCATTCGGTTTGTTATCGAGACGTATCTCATTGTGCGTCTCGTGATACTGTCCCGAAGCCGACGCCGCTGGCTCAGCGATCACTCAGTCAAGGCTGTGACTATCGTCAGGGCGTGCAGCCTTCTGTTGCTCGATCTGCTCACCGTCGTGCCGGACTCCATTGTGACCAATGTCGTCGCAGACTTTCTTCCGTTTTGCGTCGGTGCTGTGATTGTGCTTGGTACGTGCTGTTATCGCCTAGTTCGTTGTGACCATACTCATCACTTTCACTGCACACAGCGGCCTTTAACTGGAAATGGACGGCCCTGCATCCTTCCGGCAAGTCTAATCTGCAATCATTAGTCTTCGTGACCAAGCACACCGCGGACCCCCTGCTCGTCCCTACACCCTTCACCCTTCACTTCCCTCGTCAGTACCGCTCAAGCGCACACAGCTGGTGCAGCCACTCCGCACACCCTGCTCCTTCCACCTCTCATTCTGTACCTGATACTGCGTCAAGCGAGCACATGTTTGACGCGGATGAACTCGAGCCAGCCATCAGTCCGGTCAGCACGGAGAGCGCCGTCATCGTCATTGGGGCTACAACACAGCAGCGCTCCGTCAAGCCGGCTGTACCTCACCATAACATGTTTCATCCGCACAGCGCACCACCACAGGTTTACGTGTTTTCCGCTTTCCCGGGCAAGATCCTACGGTCGCAGACCGAGGTTGCGACACAGCTTGAGGCGGAGGCCGCGTCCACATCCCAAACTCGACTCGAAACAGTGTCGGGGCCCACCGTACCGCGTCAGGACGGCGAGCAGAATACGGCTACTGTCCTGTACGACGATGGCGACGACGTTTCGGACGAGACTGTTGACCGCGCGTCGCTGTCCTCGCTAGTCTACGGCTCCGACATTCTGCAGGTGACACCAAGCAAGCGGCGGGCGGACGGCGCAGTGCACGCCTCACCTGCGCCGACTCAGACGAGCTTCGCGCTCTCTTCATGCAGCTCACGTCGGACTACATACCGTCTCTCGCATAGCCCCTCTATCATGACGACTAAGAGCTCGACCGAGTCGTCTGCTGAGTGGGACGACGGCATGCCGCGCTCTGCCGTTACGCCCCGCAGCTCTACCAGGCGCCATGCGCTGCTCTCGCCACTGGACTCCGCATCTCCATCGTCCTCGACTTCGAGACACTTCTGGCGGCGGCGTTCCTCAACACGTGCGCGCGCCTTCAGTGCCAGCATCGTCACCGGCACTGCAGACACGGAGCTTGCACCAGTACGCGAGAGCTCGCCTGCACCTGGAGCGCAGTGGCTCCCTTCTCCAGACGCCGGTGCTGGTAACAACAGCACCAGGAAGCTCCGCAGGAGGACATTCGGACAAAGCGCGCGTTTCTCGCGCCGTATGACGGCCTCGTCCAGCAGTCTGATCGAGAGCCCAACCAGCGAGCCTGTTCCGCCGCTCCCTACTTCTGTCCTGCCCTCTGTACCGCCCGCGATCCCGCCTGCTGTCCTTCCCAGCCATCCGCCGAGCACACCGAGCTCGACACGCCGATACGCGCTCCCCACCCTCGCGGTGCCCGTGCCCAAGGTCTACGTCTCGCTCGCGTCTCCAGCCACATTGCCGCTGTTCACCTCCGCATCAGTCCCGGCAGCGCCGGCGCAGCCACAGACCGCCACCGACAGCACATTCGGACTACCGGCGAGCGCGGGTATGGTGAAAGGCCCGCGTCCCCCGCCCTCTGTGCACCTCTCGGGCGGCGCACTGCAAGAGCGTCGCGACGCAAACACGCTGAGTGAGATCTCACGCCACCGGCGGACTAATAGCTCGCCGTCGGAGTACTCTCAGGAGTCGCATGCCAGCTTGGAGACCGTCCGGCGGCCGAGCATGCAGTGGTAGAACAGCCCGGAGGCAAAGATCGGAAACGTTACGAGACGCTTCAAACAGACATTATACCGGTTGGCGATGATTTCGCTGCTGGACGAACGGTTATGTCTATGACCACTGCAGGATTATTACCTAGGCTATGAATGGCTTATAATTTCATGTACTTGCGTACATTATGTGCAATATTGCATGGACTTTTTTATAGCTTCATCTTTCTAGTAGCTTGGATATGTGGACTCAGCTCAGATCAGACAGCACAGATACTACCTTAGGTTTCGCCCAGCAAGTCTACCGCCTGACAGACTCAGCTGAGGTTAGCAAACTAATTACGTTCACGGAGCTAGTTAGTAAATTTTTTTGGCTGACAGAGGCACGAAAATGACCGTGAGAAAAGAAGCTAAAAAGCCTGAACACTTTCCGGTGAAAATATATAATAGGTAGAATTTGAAAATAAGAGTAAAACAAAGTCGCCTTTTTTAGTAAATCTTGTTGTAAAAAGTTGGTCTGCTCGCAGCAGAAAGAGGTGCAAATACTGCTGGGCTATCCATATATAGAGTAATACACATGGAGAAAGAAATGATGATGATTTCACCCTAAGGATAACTCGACTCTCCTAATATCTCAAAAGGTGTAAAAGCAGTGTATCTTTTTTGTATCACTAAAATGATAACATCCCCATGGGAAAATAGCTTGAGTGTATTTATGAAACAAGCTGAATGCTTTTGTACCTCTATCCACACAAAATGGTATAAAATTAACCCTGTGGTTGTCACAAACGGCTGCGCCGGTATCTGAGAAATGATTGTACCTTGAGGTGATACTATGATGGCCCCCCTGGTTCTCAAAGGCTCCTTGCTTTATAAAACTGATCTTGCTGCTGCAATATGCCCCTAGAGATGCTGGAAATATTGTTTTATGATAGACTTGTATTCATACTATGATATAACACCCATATAATGGCAGATATACAGAAAGGGACGCTATGATGTTTTTATGAATGCTCAGAAGTGGTTCAAAACTGGCCAAAAAATGCTACTGATGGCTGGATCCAACCAGACACTGTACTTTTACGACTGTAGCAAATGGAAGTACCCAAAATGAGTCCTCCTGACAAGTCACCAAAATTGCCATAAATCGAAAAAAATATTATTGGCGGTGTCCGTATAATGTGTGACATCTGCTATGGTCATAAAAGTACAGTATTGCACACCAGATATTCTTGTGACTGCATCTATGAACTTGTGTACTTACACCAGACATGACTGGTTAATAAAAAGTGCTACATACATGTACAGGAAAGGAACAATAGTGGGGCATTACAATGAACGAGCAAGGCATGATAAAATTGTCGCTTTGCCTGATCTCAGACACTTGAGGTCAACTTTGGAGAGACAGCTTGGCTTCTTGGCAGAAGCACGACTCAACGGCATCTGGTGTAACACTTGTGTGACAAAATTTATAAAAAGTGGTGCAGGACCTACTTTGCACACCGAAAAGGATCTACTGCTCTTGCAAGACCTCAATAAAATATAGAAAAAATAGTTATATATAGGTAAGGTGCATGCATATTGACTCATGCAAAGCCATCTGTGAAGAGCAGATGTGGTAAGCTACAGAATGCAGATTTTCCCAAAATTTATAAACCAGGATACCATCTTAGTAGAAGGTGGTCAAAAATAAGTGGTTAGAAAGAGGTACAGATAGAGTGGTTAGAAAGAGGTAAAGATAGAGTGCTCCAAGATCAAGTCCCAAGCCAAGCTACTTCCCACCTCTGTATCTTCTTGCCGTCTCTGAAAATGAATGGAGCAGCGGTAAACCTGTTGTAGTATTTGAGGTGCAAGGTGCACTGACCTGCTGGATGCGCATCAGCTGCACCGCACCAAGACATCGACGTGACACGTTCACTGCGTCATGCCATATTTGAATATGGCTTTTCTGTTTTAGATATGATGCACGCAGAGCACTCTCGGCTCTGGCACCGGTTCATTCCCCGCCACGTTTCTCTTTGTCTCAGCTTCTTCAGCATACTAAGTATTGGACTGAGTATATTAGGAAGTAGATAACATATATAAGAACGCGATGTATTATCCTAGAAATTTATCGTTGATTATTTGTGAATCCCCTGCCTGTGTGAAGATTTCCACAACAAAACCTGAGACAGGAAAGGTGTGCAAGCCAATTGTGGGCAGTGGAGAAGGAGCTGGTCACACATAATCAATGAAGCACTATCCACAGCTTAACTAATGTGAGGTGTGCCAGCCATAGACAATGTCCTGCTAGTTGGCGCGAACAGTGCAGACAGCTTCACGAGTGTTGAGAAGTACTAGTAGTGTCTCACAATCTACATGGAAAATGCTGTCCTGGAGAATTTGGCAGTGTTCAAAAGTTGTCTGAATTGCACAGGCCACCTGAAGACGTCATGATATCTCTAAGCTTGACAGCCTCCAAGTGCACTACATAGAGAACCGGAAAACTCTGTCAGTTTCACAGTTCTGGAAATTGTGTGACATCAATGATCGAGGGAGGAATCAGTGATACCAAAGTCATGCTGATCATAGTTGGCCGAGATGCAGGCTCGAATCTGCCCTGCCAGAAAACCCTAGAAAACTACATGGACAGATTCAGACCTAAAGGCCTAATGATTTGGGCACCTGCATAGGCTAGCAGTTGTTGCCCACAAGCTCTAGCACCATCAGACAACCTGAAGACCAGGCAGGGCTGCAAGTCTGTGTGAGCCTGTGATGCCTGCCATGATGCCGTCCCCTGTTGAACGGATAAGTGTCTCAGGTGATCAGACTTGTTCTGGACTGTCTCACATATGTAATGCGTGCTGCACATGGACACTTGTATGATAGGAGTTTCATTTTCCGATGCGGACATCATTTGTTTCATCTCCAGTAGCTTATAAAGACTCATACCTGATCTCCACTCTGTGTGCTCTTGTGCCTTCACATCCAAAGAAAGCTTCCTTTTATTGCTATTGCATTATGGCCTATGTTTACACTGTACTAGCTTACAGTGTTTCACCTTTGTGTGTTAGGTACAGTGATAAATGTGTGCTCTTTTGCCTTCGCACCCAGACTTACAGCATTCTGCCTTTGTGTGTTAGACCTCTCATGCTACATGCTGTAGAAGGGTTTTCAGCGCCAACACCAAGAACTTACATTTACCTTCTTTCCGCATGTACACAGATGGTGGACGGTGGCATGACCAGGAAGACAGGACGTAGGTGACACCGCAAGTGACGGAGTACCCCGCGACCTGAGGGCGGCAGGAACGTGCATGTAAATAGGGGCCCGCTGTGCACGAGCATGCCGAGTCATCGCCTGTCGGAGCGGCGCGCCATTCCCGAAGCCTGACGCCACTACTTCGTTTTCCATCGCATTCGCAGGTTCTTCCCCAATAGAGACCCTTTCGTTAACGTTTACCTTCACTTTCCGTACACATAGACCTCCGGCCGAGAGCACGGCAGCGGAGCAGCGCTCGCATGTATATTAAAGGCGACCTCCCGCCGTCGAATGGAGCAAGCTCCCCTTTCCCCCACCTTCACCTCTAAAGTCTGCCCCTCCGAGCTTCGGGCACATCCTAAGAGCATCGAGAATACACTCGCGAGAGCGCGAGACGAGGTTCGCCCGCGACGAGTGCGGGCACGAGCATTTAAGTAAGAGTTTTATTAGATCGTTCATCGAGCTTAGTTACGCGTTTAGATATCGAGTTTAGTCATCGGCCGTTCCCTCCCCACACGTAAAGCCCCGCATATATCGAGCGCCGACCTGTACGTAGAATCCTCCTCCACAATGCTCTTGTATGAGCCAGTTCTCGCTCACACAGCCATTGATCATCACTCTATGATAACATTCCCCACTTCCCAAAGATACCATCCAGATGCCTTCATCAGTTCTAAGAACCATTAATATCGAGCTTATGACGAGACAATGATGGTCTGAGGCTGATCATCACTTATCTCCAATGCCTGAACACCTCCCACCCCTTCTCCTGCCCTGCCCCTGCAATAAGGCTTCTTCACTAGCTGGCATAAGTCCTCCAATTGTGCACTTTGGCCACAGTGGTGCCAAGCCATTTTGTGCACTCGAAGACCCTGGGAAAGACAAGAAGAGTGCTGAGGTGCCTAACTAGCATGGCGCGAGCACAATGAGTACAGCGAGCATGCCAGAGGACTTTCTGGTTGCCAAGCAGTCTGCTATTGGTGCCAATTTCTGCCACAGCATGCGTGGCTCAAAAGGAATACCACATGGCCACTATAGTGGTGAGAACAAGTCTTGCTTTCCATGCTCATTACGTGCCAAGAGAAAGACCAAGTGCCAGTTGCTTGTGCTTGAAAACCTCAATGTACAGTAACGAGCTTGCATGGAGTATCAGTTTACGATTGCATCTGCCATTTTGTGACTCTGGTGTCTGTACCACAACTTTCACTACCTCCATAGATCAGGTGGGCTGATGCCACGACATTCATGTAGTTCAACTTGTATGTATGTTGTACATTTATAATACATGATGTATTGACCTTTTTGAGGCTGGCTCCGAGTGCAGCAAAGCTTGAAGATGAGTTTCTACCATGCTGGTCATCTCCCAGGTGTTCAGACCTCAGGACCTTGATCTTACATTGTACAGTGTGCACTGCAGCATGTGCGCAACAGCCAGGTTCGTGTGGCTATGCTGGCCATCTTGTAAAACTATCTGTTGGTTGATAATTCTGTATCTAGTGTGATGCTTAGTAATCATCACAGAGGTCATTGCCATACTAGAGGTCATGAGATTGTATGAAACTTGAGGTGGCAGAAAACAAACCCAGATACGGAAATATCTGACAATACTGCATCTACAGTGGCCGCCAAAAATAACGCACAGGACTACGGGGGGGTGTCAAAATCCCCCTGTATCTCCATGACTGCCGTAGCTAGCTAGATAATGTATATATCAATCTTACACTAGGTTACTTGTAGCATCTTTCTGAGGTGTCAGTTTGATGCAAACACTAGGTGCCAGAAAAAATGTGGTGAAAATGGCTAGAAAATGAATATATATTGCGAAAATCACAGAATAATATAGACCACAGAGTAAAATATGCTTGGGTCCAAGTAAAATTTTATACTATGTGATGCTACTGTAACAAATTTATAGTATAGCACCCAGTTCAGATGGCTGAGCTGTGAAGACAGTTACACTGATATGATTTATTCATAGAATTGAAATATTTATATC